CCTACCTTATACTATCATCCATATGCCTATCTAATAGCCGCTTAAATGCCCCTAATGAGGCCGACTCTACTACCCTCTCCGGCAATGCATTCCACGCCCTGATCACTCTCTGAGTAAAGAACCTACCTCTGACGTCTCCCCTATATCTACCTCCACTCACTTTAAAACTATGCCCCCTTGTAATAGCTACCTCCGCCCTGGGAAAAAGTGTCTGGCTGTTTATTCTATCTATACCTCTGATCATTTTGTACACCTCTGTCAAATCACCTCTCATCTTTCATCGTTCTAAAGAGAAAAGCCCAGCTCTCTCAACCTTTCCCCGTAAGACTTTCCCTCCATTCCAGGCAACATCCTGGTAAATCTGCTCTGCACCTTTTCCAACGCTTCCACATCATTCCTGTAATGAGGCGATCAGAACTGGACACAATACTCCAAATGTGGCCGAACCAGGATTTTGTATAGCTGGAGCATAACCTCACAGCTCTTGAAGTCAATCCCTCTATTAACGAAAGCTAACGCACCATATGCCGTCTTAACAACTCTATCCACCTGGGTGGCAGCTCTCAAGGAACTGTGGACATGAACCCCAAGATCCCTCTGCTCCTCCACAATGCCAAGAATCTTTCCATTAACCCTGTATTCTGCTTTCAAATTTGTCCTTCCAAAATGAATCACCTCACACTTTTCAGGGTTAAACTCCATCTCCCACTTCTCAGCCCAGCTCTGCATCCTATCAATGTCCCTTTGTAATCTAGAACAGCCCTCTGCACTACCCACAACTCGACCCACCTTCGTATCATTCTCACTGTCCACGGGTAAAGTGCCGGAAGATTGGAGAGTGGCAAACGTCATTCCCTTGTCCAAAACCCCAGAAAGTCTTGAGGGGCTTGATGGAGATGGGGAGAGGGTAAGCTGCTGTGTGGGTATTGTCACTGCCCAGAGAGTCGAGAATGAAGGATCAGCATAATGGGCAGCTATTTTGGGCTGTGATGAGGAGAAATGTCTTCACTGAAAGAGTTGTAGATATTTGCATTTCAGTATCCCAGCTGGGAGCGCTCTGTAGTTGAGTATGTCTGAGTCTGTCACAGAGTATAATTAAGTCAGAGATTGATGGAAGTTTTGGTTGCCCCAGCACTGATCCTTTACAGCCTGCCAACTTGAAAATGCTCAGTTTATCCATGTTGTCTGCTTTCTATCCATTAACCAATCCTCCATCTATGTTAATATATTATCCCAGTTTTTTTTAATTCACTCATTGGACCTTGGCTCACCTACTGGCCAGCCTGTCTCTATTAGGCCTTGAGAAAGTGGTGGTGAGCTGCCTTCTTCAAATGCAGTCCACCTGCTGTGGGCTGACCCACAATGCCCTGAGGGAGGGAATTTCAGGGTTTTGACCCAGCGACAGTGAAGAACTTGTTCCATACACATTTTACATGTTGATTTTTTTTCTGGCATATTACCAATGCCTTTTGAAATTCTGATGATATAATATCTACTGGCTGTCCTTTCCATGCTACTAGTTATACTCTCAAAAACCTTACTTCTTAAAAAAATGTATTTACTCATAGGATGTGGGGTTCACTTGCTAGGTTAATAATTATCACCTTTCTGTAGTTGCCCTTGAGAAGGTTTTGGTGAGCTGCCTTCTTGCACTGCTGCAGTCCATATGTCGTAGGGAAATCCATAATTCGTTTAGGGGGGAAGTTGCAAGATTTTTGATCCAGTAATAAGATATTTTCATCCTGGATGGTGAGTGGATGGGAAGGGAATTTTCAGTTGGTAGTGTTCCCATGTATCTGCCTCACTGGTCTTTCTAGATGGCAGTGGTCATGGGGTTTAAAGGTGCTGTCTAAGGAGCCTTGCTTGATTTCTTCTGGGCATGTTACAGATGACACTTGCTGCTGCTACTGAGCATCAGAGGTGGAAGGAGTGAATGTTTGTGGATTTAGTGCCAATCAAGTGGGCTGCTTTGTCCTGGGTGATGTCATGTCTCTCGAGTATTGTTGAAGCTGCACCCATCCAAGCAAGTAGGGAGTATTCCATCGTACTCCTGACTTGTGCCTTGTATATAGTGGACAAGCTTTAGGAAGTCAGGAGGTAAGTCACCTGCTGCTGTATTCATGGCATCTGACCCGCTGTTGTAACCGCTGTATTTATGTAGCGAGTCCAATTCAGCTTCTAGTCAGTAGTAATTCCAGAACGTTGATAGTGGAGATTCAGCAGTGGAAGTGCCGTCGAATGTCAAGGGGCGATGTTTAGACTCGTCTCATTGGTGACGGTCTTTGTCTAGCGTTTGCATGGTCTAAATGCTACTTGCCACTTGTGACCTCAAGCCTGGATATTGTCCACATCTTGCTCCATTTGAACACAGACTCCTTCAGTATATGAATCATGAATGATGCTGAAGATTGTGCAGCCATCAATGATAATCCCTATGACTGACCTGCAACACCACAACGATCTTCCTATGTGCCAGGTATGACTCCAACCACTGGAGAGTTTTTCCCTGATTCCGACTGAGTCCAGTTTTGCTACGGCTCCTTGATGCTGCACTCAGTCAAATACAGTCTTCATGTCAAGGCAGTCACTGTCACTCTTTTCATTTTTGAGCTAAGGTTGTAATGAGGTGAGCAGCTGACTGGACCTGGTGGAACACAAACTGAAAACCAGTAACCATCACTGAGTAAGTTATTCTTAATCAAGTGCTGCTTGATAATATTGTTGGTTACATCTTTCATCACCGTATTGACAATCAACTGATGGGGTAGTAATGGGCTGGGTTTGTCTTGCTTTTTGAATACAGGACATACCTGAACAATTTTTCACGTCGTGTAGATGCCAGTGTTGTAACTGTACTCGAAGAGCTTGGCTGTGGGTGGGGCGTGTGGGAGATGGGGGAGTTGAGGTTGGGGGGAGGGAGCAGGTTCTGGAATGTTGCTAGAATGTTATCAGGGCCCGAATGTTTGGTATATCCACTTCCTTCAGCTGTTCCTTGATGCTCCATGGAATGAAATGATATGCCTGAAGATTGGCATCTTTTATGCTAGGATTCTTGGGCAAAGATGTATCATCCAATGATGCTCTAGAGACTTGATGGTAATGCTACATGGGTGATATGTTGGACTAATACAACGATTTCTCTTTCATAACATCATGTTGGCTGTCTGATCCTGCTATTATTTTCAAAACCATTGTTAAGTCCGAATTTAATATTTAATTCCAATATTGCCCAATGTCTGATGCTTCACTGGAGTTTCCTGTTTTCTCTATCCCTACTTCCTTGACTAGCCCTGTTACATTTGCTAACTTCCAATCTGCTGGGAATGTTTTTTAATGTAGGGAATTTTGGTAAATAATACTAAGGGCTGTATTTCTGCTGCTTGCTGTTTTGAACTCTGGGGTGTAGATAATCAGTCATGGGGATTTGTTGCCTTTTAATCCCTTAAGTTTATCTACTAATTTTCCTCTGCCGACATTAATGTAGATTTTTCATGGTTATTAGTCCCATGGTTGTCTTAAGACAGACCCAAAGTAATTTCTCAATGTCTCTGCCATTTCCTCATTACATAGAAACATAGAAAACAGGAGCATGAACAGACCGTTCGGCCCTTCGGATTTGCTACACTATTCAATATAATACTAGCTGATTATCCAACTCAGTATCCTGTTCCCGCTTTCTCCCCATACCCTTTGATCCTTTAGCCCCAGCAACTATATCTATCTCCTTCTTGAAAACATTCAATGTTTTGACCTCCACTGCTTTCTGAAGGAGAGAATTCCACAGGCTCACCACTCTCTAGGTGAAGAAATTTCACATGTTCTCTGTGCTAAATGGCCTATCCTTAGACTGCAACCTCTGATTGTGGAGTAAGCAGACAGGAAGGAGTTACATTCAGCACACCACCTCCCAACCTCTGAGTGAAATATCCACCGTAGGCTGAGCGTCGGGGTGGCAAATCTAAAAAATCTAGCCCAATCTCTTTTGCAACATGGGCCTTTCCTATTTCCCAACCTTCGTC